TTGCCGAAGATGACATGGACGAGGTGTTGAAGCACTACTACATCCGCACAGGGGGCAACTTCCGCGCCTTGGGCGAGATACTGCGAAACGTCTCCAGAGCAGGTCAGAAAGGTGCGGATGCGGTCATCGAGCGGGTTGAGCAGTGGTACAAGCGGAGGGTGGAACCAATTCAAAGGAGATTGGATGACCAGGAAGTGAAGGACTATCTCCTCAAGGTGGCAGGGGCAGGACCCATGGGGTATCTCCCAGAGAGCGACGAAGACACCAAAATGGCATTGAAGCTTCTTCGTGAGGAGCCAGCAGACTGCGTCCTGAGGAGTGCAACCAATGAAACTGTGGCTTTGAAGCATTGGCATTTCGTCGCCAAGCTCTTTGAAGAGGATGAGCAGAAGTTGAGGGACGCAGGATACATGTGAGCTTCGCCGGTGAAAAAAAAAACTGTGGCGCTTGAGATGTTTTGTGGGTGAGTCATCCAAGAGTAATTTTCACATATTGCATGCGTAACCGCAGATACCCAACCCTAGTATCAATGATACCCAGATACCAATATCCAAGTATCAACGATACCCAGAACCAAGCATCAATGATACCCTGATACGAGTATCCAAGTATCAACGATACCCAGAACCAAGTAACAAGGATACCGTGATACCAGTATCCAAGTATCAACGATACCCAGAACCAAGCATCAATGATACCCTGATACCAGTATCCAAGTATCAACGATACCCAGAACCAAGTATCAAGGATACCGTGATACCAGTATCCAAGTATCAACGATACCCAGAACCGAACAAGCAACAACAGACAACTCGTTTCACCCTGGACCTTTTTAGCCAAACCATCAAACACGGACAAATCGTTTCACCCTCAACTCTTGACAAAAGCATCAAACAAGGACTAGTCGTTTCACCCTCAACTTTTATAGCCAAGCCATCAAACACAGACAAATCGTTTCACCCTGAACTTTTGAAGACAAAAGATCCTTACTTCAACAAGTGTCCTAAAACCATTGTTTTAGCGTCCAAAAAACATCAATTTAGGACACTTGTTAAAAACACCATTTTTAGAGCAACAGACCCAAAAACACTTAAAGAAATGACGCCTTATAGAATCAAGAATTGAATATGCCCTGCTATATGTATATTAACGGTATGAAGCAAGAAATGGACGAAGACCTTTTTGACCAAATGGCGGAAACACTACACCAATCCAGCAACCCTCAAAATCCACCAACCACAACATCCACAAAATGGAAACCCGACGGAACTTACGACAAGAAACCATTAGACCCCAATTATTTTTCAAAGTATTATCAAAAGAAATTATCAACCCCTTTCACCTGTCCAGACTGCGGACGAACCACAAGCAAATCCAATCTATCAAAACACCGTCAAACCAACAGATGTATGAACAGCAGACGACACTAAAAATAAAACCTTCTCATTAACAACGCTTTGTTAATCAGAATGTTTTATCTATCTAAGGGCTGCCGCCCCTGCCGCCGACCCCGGAAGAATCCGCAATGAATCAAACCAAATTGGCAAAAATGAAGGACGGAAAAGCATCAAAATTGCGCCCAAACACTCCCATCATCGTATTCTATCTTGACGATTTTGTAGGATTGATTGCTCCACTTTGAGTTATACTCCTTCCTCTCTCGGTGTAGTTGTCTTTTTTCTTCTCAAAGACCTTGACCATATCATTCACTTTGACCTCTGGATATTTGCGAGTGTTCTTTTCCCTCCTTGTCACATTCACCCTGACGTCCATATGGTTCTTGTCGTCGTGGGCATCCTTGGGTTTCATTTTGGTTGATGAATGGACGGTGTCGTTGTATTTATCTAACGCTTTGGACAACATCACAGTCCAACTACCGCGATTAAACCTAACTCTATCGTATATCATATTTTTTCATTGTCCTTATGAAACGCTCCACAACATTAGCGTGTGTTAGGGTGACGACGTGAGTGATGCCTTCTTTCTCAAAAAAGTCTTTTACCCGATTTTACCCCTGCTTGGAAGGCACGGTCATTATCACTATAAACGGACATTGGAAAACCCATTTTGTTGAAACTCTCTTTCATCGCCGATAATGTAATTGGTCCGGATTTTTCTTTCATAGGGACGACGTTTGCCAACTTGCTAAAGATGTCAATGACCACCAACCCATATCTCGGTTCGACGTTCTTGATTGGAATTTTCGTCTCTGGTTCTTTGGCAAGGGGTTTCATATCCATTATGTCAATCTGATATTCAAACCTTGCGAAGGGCGCGGTGTAGGAGTTTGAACCCCTGTATTTTCTAATCTGTTTGTTGGGCTGTTTCCTCATAAAGTTTTCCACATCCACCCTGTTGATGGTCTGGTCTTGTTCCTTGGCTTTCTTAAGGGTCTCATTGATTGAACCGAAGCCCGTTTCAAGATTGTAATAGACATTGCTTATGATGTCATCTCGTGATGGTCTCCTTGCCATATGTTATAATATTAGATTTTTAAAATTATCAGCAATAAAAAATATACTTGAAGAAAACATACCTATATATAGTAAGACTAAATAAGATGACTAAATTTGACTGTGGATGTCGTATTATGACAGATGTTATAACCCTGAACGGAAGAAACCAACCTAATTGGAACTACTTGCTCAAAACCTTTGTGAATGTGTGTGGCAAGTGCTACAGGAAGCAAATAAAATTCCAATATATGGAAAACAAACTTATGGAAATGGAAAAGCAACGAATGGAAATGTTTATGGAAAATGAGGATGAAGAGCACGACACATACTTTGACCTGACAGAGTTGAAGGAACATCTCAAAACCCTCCCACCCAATGAAAGACACAAAGTGAAGGATTTTGAGAGGTTAAGAAACCTCGCCAATGGACAAGACCCCAATGAAGGAATGAGTGAAATTGATATGGTTATAAAGGAACTGGAAGAGGAGGAAAGGGAAAACAAAAACCAACCCGAACCCGAAAACTGAACGAACCCCAAAAAACTACTTAAAGAAAAAATGACTATATATATAGTAAGAGGATGCTATTTACATATAAAAACTGCGGATGTTGTAAGAAAAAAATGACTGACATTAAGGTTTTATTGAACAACATTTTTCCGGCTGGAATTTGTGATGAGATATGTAATTACAACCTTCACTGTTCTAAATGTAAGGACTTGAATGATAAGGAGCGCAGATACATAAATTTCAATTATCATTGTGACTATTTTAATGATAAAGAACTAACAAGAGTTGAAAAGCAAATATATTTCTTTAAAACAAGGATGGAGAAATCACCTATCTATTTGTCTAATACTAATCGGACAAACACTCGGCAAATGAAAAGAGAAATTGATGTTTTAATGGATACATCCAAACTCAAGCAAGAATTCAAACACAACAAACTGTTCTTAATGGCGATTAAGTCTTTTGTAAAAAGGGAGTGGAAAACTACCTATCACTTCCTTAAACACTTTCACGACCTTACATATATGAAGTATTGTAAGAACAAACGGGAGTGGTGGTTTCCTCAAAATGATTGGACTTATACATTTAGAAATAGGGAGTTTCAGGTAAAAGACATTTTGGAAATCTTCCTGCGTGAATACCTTGAAGAACTGTTCAAGGGTTATGAGAAATACTGTAATCTAACGGAAATACAAGAGCACCTATAAAAAGTGATAAATACTTAAAGATAAAATAACTATATATATATATAGTAAGAGAAAATGAGTAGAGCAAAAATTGAGGTTATAGATACAGGGAATATTGGTATATATGCTGACTTTGGTAGTGAAAGTGAAGATGAACACGAATATGATAGACAATCAATAGAAAAAGAAGATGAAGAGGTTAGAGACTTTGTAAAGTGTCATCCTATGCCTTCACCAGATGATGTTTGGAAGAAAGTAATTAACAGGTTGAAACACGACCAAGGATTAAATGCTATGATAATATATTCGTTTGTAAATTTTGACATTATGAAAAAGATGTATGAAAACCTCACTGATAAAAAGGTCATCGTTGATTGTGGTAAGGATCTTAACCGTGATGGAAATTGGGATGCTATGGCAATAAATCAAACTCTATTAGCATTAGCAATAGATGAACTGAATGATACAGACAAACCTATCACAAGTCAAATCAGGATAATTGAACACTGGTGGGATGCAATAGGAAAGTGGAAAGCATAAATGAACAAGACACCAAAATTACTTAAAGAACAAATACCTATATATAGTAAGAGAAAAATGCCAATGCTTGGAGTTAGTGAAGAGGAACTGAAAAGAGATAGAGAAAGATTAATGAATTTCATAAAAGAAAATCCGTATCCTGATTATAAATTTATAGAATATGACCTACTACTTAAGCAAGAACAATCTTTAGAGCAATACGCAGAGTATGGAGAGATAAACCACGACCTTATGAAAGAAATTTATGAAAACATAATTGATAAAGATTTAATCAAAAAACACGGTGGGAGGATACACCATAGAGGAGGAATGACAGCATTACAACAAAACTATTATACACTATTAACAGTATTGAAACATTTAATTGACCAACAAGGACTGGATAGAGACACAATCATTTTAGTGTTCTACAACATTAAAACGATTGTTTCTCAATATTGGGATGGAATAGGTAGTGGTGATGAAAAGTGGAGACACTAAACCTAACGATTAATTCATAATATCTTAACAAAAATATATTATGACGTAATCACCCACCCAAACACAAACAAAAACCCCAACAGCCTAAACAAATCCTACCCCCATTCAATCCAAACATTATCACAACAACCTCAACAACACATTTAGCAAGAGAATCAAAAAGAAACAGTCAAACATTTAGATTTACAACATTGAACAAAAACATAACAGCCTCCCACCTGACGTCCAACCTGTCTTGTCCTAGCATCCCTGTTTTACCATTTTTTGCCAGAGACTATGGGCGACGCATCCTCCGAAACGTCAGAAGGTTGCCTCAACTTGATCAAGTCATGACATTGCGTACAGCACTGTGTGTCCAAAGCCGACGTGCAGCTTGAATCCGCCAGGCCGAGAATGACAAGTGGTGGGGCAGCTGGGAAAAGGCGCGGTACTGCCCGCAATACCTCACACCATTCCACACCATTCGTATGCGTGCTTCCGTCAGCAAGTTCTCCGGCAAGATCGCACTGCAGGCTGGCAGCCGCAAAAAGGGACACAAGGTGCAGTTCTCAGTTTTGAGATGCAGAGGCACTGCAGAACTGCAGAGCCACAGGTTGACACATATATGTGAAGATGCTGGACTTTGAAGCTGACATTTCCAAACCCAGGAGAAGAACAAAGACGGCCCCGCTCTAGCAGAGGCACTGCTTCGGCGAGAACGACTTGCTTTCACTCTGTCTCATGTCAGTCCCTGTGTGTCTCGTGAGGACGACGACGCCGAAGGAGACTTTTGGGACATGTGGCTTGCCAAGACTGACACTGCTGGGTGTAACGGACCACAACGGACCACAACGGACCAAAACGGACCCGATTCAATCAGCCAACCGAATTCTGCTAAGGCCAGACACGTCTGCCCCAGATGCAGAGGCAAGCTTTTGAAATGACAAGTTACAAAAGCTACCCACTGCATTGATGGGCTTTGATGTGGTTTTATTAGCTTTGTTTTTTCTTATGTATTGTCTGTATTGTTCTTTCTTATGATTTATTAATTTATTCTTACTATTTCTATCTATTTCTATCTATTTCTATCTATTTCTTACTGCTATGTGTTCTTTTTGAATTTGATGAACACATTTTTTCAAAGCCGCAGACGGCTTCCTCGCAGGGTGGCTTGGATCGGTGGACCTTGGGCCGCCTTCCGGGACACGAGCAAGCTGCAGAGGATGGCATGGCGGTACCCAAGGCATACGCGGCTGAGATTCTTGTTGTTTCCCAGATTATTTTCTGTTTTGATGTTATGTGTATATGTATGTATGTATATATATATATATGTAACACACACACACACATAATATATATATACATACATATTATATTCTACATATGTTTTGATGTTTTTTGATGTTTATTGTTGGGTTTTTGATCAAGACTTTATTCTCTTTACTCTCAAATCAATGTCCCAGAATGATGGGAACCCCAAAGTATCTTCCCAGACATGCATCCAAAACATGGTGGAAGCCTCCCTGGTTTAGCTATCCTGCTATCCCATTTCCCGTGTTTTGGACACCCAGATGTTTGTCTTCATCATTGAAGATCTTTGCTTAAAGTAACTTGCCGAACGGTTTCCGGCCTCAGGCGATGCCAAACAATGCCTTGACCGTGGAGGCATTAGAGTTTGAGCCCCAATGACTTCCAACGAAAGGTCTTTATCTCCCCCATGATTGGGAAATTGAAACCTGGAACATCAGCTGTAATGGTGATTCAATATGATTCAATACTTGTTAGCCAAGGAAATCATCTTCTATGATTTCTACATATGTGTATTTCCGAGGCGTGACCACCTGGCAGCTGCTCGGACCTCGATTGACAACTGGAAGCTTCGATAAAGATGTAGGTCACAATTTCGAACCAACGAAACTCTAGCAGATTGATCAATGTTGGGTGCCATCCAGTTGTTTTATCTTGTTTCGGTGCCTCATTTTTTTACGAATACCCAATGTGACTTGTGACTGGCTGCAAGGCCCCCACAGTGGCGCCGCAGGTGGCAGCTGCCCGGCTGCAGCTGCAAAAGGGATCACAAATTTGGTCATGCTTAGCATATGGGTATGGGTCAATACCTATAGATACATTTTTAGTGGGATGAACATCCATTTACCAGCTATTTTGGGGTTCACTAGGTACCAGGGTTTTGACCCATTCCCATATGAACTTGAAACCATCTTGTTAGGATCAGCAATTCCGAGCCTACAGATTTGAATCTTAATCACAGCCCAAATAGATACTTCTTGGAGATGAATCCCTCGGGTGATGCAAAAATTCCACATTCTACCAGCTACCAGCTGTTTGGTCGCCATGCTGATTCCCACCCTTGAGCAACTGCTCAGGCTCCAGCCCCCATGAACGCGCCCAGTGGCAATTGGATGGTGGATGGCCTACCACCACCTCAGCAGGAGAGATCGGAGAGATCCAGTCCAAAAATGGAGCATTTACCCTGAGGGGTCCGGTAGCTTATTTTCACAATCCCCGTGTCTTCTGGAGCCTGAAGTTACTCAAAGAAACCCCACCACCAACTGAGACCAACTGCCCAAAGGACCTTTTGGCAGCACTGGGTGCGCCAGTGGCCGTTGGGAGGCCCAGGTCCATCTTTTCATGCATCAGATTGCTGGAGGGTGCCTCAAGGGCAGGTGAAATGCCATGGAAGTCTTTCTCTGGCAGACATTTTCAGTATATGATTTCAGATGCCCAGTCCAAGATGCCAAGCAAACCTGTGAAGGATCAAATCTTGATCCGGCCCTGAGGCATCTTCCAGCTCTGCCCCAGCAGAGGATAGAAACCAGGATAGGCCTGAGCGCGGCGAGAAAGGCGAGGGGGACACAAGCTTGTTCTTTGTCACAAAAATACTATTGTACAATTGAATACACCAGGCCACCATTTTCTACCAATCACATTCCATTTATTTGATGTGCCAATACTGCACCAATTTATGCCAAGTCTGGCTGCAAACTGTGCATTTGACAGGAAGGAAGCAGTCCATTCGTTCTTGTCGTGGGGTGTTTGCAGTCGTTTGTTTCTCACTCCAATCTGACATTGGTTTGACCTTTGGTGCTAGGCCGCGGGAAGGGCAAGAAAGGTAAAGACCGAGAGAAGGGTGCCGAGGGCGAGAAGGACCTCCAAAGCTAAACTCGACATACCTGGCTGGGTGTGCAATGGATCTGGCAAGAAATTATGCAGAAAGCAAGTACCAAAATGAGAGCTCTCACCGTGCTTTGCCTTGTGGGAGACTTAGCATATCTTAGGCGGGAAGGGAGAGATGGTAAGCAAAAGACACCAGTGGGGACTACTGTAATGTAGGTCACAATAAAATCCAAGTGGTACTATAATGATACAAAAACAGGCACCCCCGACACATGGGTTTGGAGGGCCCGAATGCACGTTTCTTTCAGGAGCGACTAGAGCGCATAGATCGCTCAGACGATCCTCGTCGGCAAGCGGTCGAGCAGGTGGGATCCACTTGGAAGATGGTGAAAGATGGTGAAAGATGGTGAAAGATGGTGAAAAGCGACAGGTCAAATGGTGAAGGTAACGACTCTGCATTCTCTCCAGGTCGGAGAAGTCGTTACGGTGCGCAAGCACAGCTCAATGGGCTGTGCCGTCGTATCCATGACCGATGTCAGGGTGCGACAGGCCGCGGCTTGGGTGCGATCTTGAGATTGGACCAAGAACACTAGTGCTGAGTGCTGCCTCCTGCACGCTTGACATGGACCTCAGCAACCGTGGCAATCTATATGTGCACCAAGTACCAAGTGTAGAAGTGTCGTTGTCGTTAGACTTCAGTTTTGATGTTTGTTTACTAGTGATGGCTAGTGATTCCAGGTCCTCGTGGCCCTCGTGGCTAGTCCTTTTTGGGGCAACAAACTCGCGGGGCGATGCTACCAGACTGCGACGCCAGGCAATCGTGGCCGAAGGCAACGAATGCACAATCAATGGCCTCAAGGTCCAAATCAAACCGCATCACAACAAGGACTGAACAGATAGATACAGTTAGTACATGTAATACATATATAGTATTATATATATAGATATTATACATATATATAATGATATATATATATAATAATATATATATAATAATATATATATATAATATAATACATATATATATATATATATACATATGTATAATCATGTATAGATAGTATACATACGGACACCTTGTGTCACCTTAGTGCAGTCTTGTGCAGTATCTGAGAGCGCTGTGTTGATGCTTTTTCTAACCGGTCTTGAATCAATACTTGGGAGCCATGATTTGCTTTGGCTTCCATTTTTGTGGTTGTGTGAACGAACTGCAGGACACCAAAGAAGAGGTTCTGACCGACCTGTTCGTCGCTTGGGGTAGACAGGCCGGAGGGGAGGATGCAGCATTTTCTTGGCATTCCTACTTCAGCGCTGAAAGGTAGAGAAGGTGAGTCCCCTTTCGGAAGAGAAGATTGCCCAGTGCCTTCGCAGATCATTGTGCTGCTCAAGTGGTGGCGGATGCACGAGCTGCTAGGTACTTTGACAAAAAGTACAAGGACATCATCGCAGGATGGAAGGCAGCTGAGGAGGTGTGCAGCTGCGCAGCTGCGCCGCGCCTGTGACGACAAACATAATATCGGAGTCGTTCTAAACCCATGCAAGACTTTTAGTATCCGAGCGACATTTGCAGATATGGACGTGTGCTTTACCTCAGGGGCGGCCTTTCGTCGAAAGGTTTCGCGAAAGGTCCAAATACACCTAGATGTATGTGATAGTATTCATGCTTGGCAGTTGCGGTTGCATTCGCACAACCATTGAACAATAATTTTGGATATTTTGGGAATCTGTCTCAGATAATGGGTTTTTAGTATTGGAACTGAAACACCCGCCCAGCAAATCATGCAAATCATCCTCTTACGCAAATCATCCTGTAGCTACAAGTCATTCCCAAGAAACATGATTGTCAAATGCAAGAACCTGAGGCAGCTCCTCTAGTTTTGTTGATGTGTTTCTGCCGAGCACATCCTCATCACTGCCAGGAGAGGAGGCAAGCGGAGGAGCGTTGCAGAGCAGTTTTCTGAAGGTATTGCACCCCTGCCCTGCTACAAGGGATTGCCTTACTTAAGGGCCATTCCCCCATTCAGAAAATAAATACACACACACGACATACAATCACAACAACATACATGTGTGTGTGTGCGCGTGTTTTTTGACATACTGATATACTGTACATACGTATATATATATATATAATAGATATTTAGGCTGTCTGTAGTGTAGCTACACACATTCATTCATACATACACATCATCTTTAGACAGCATCAGGAGCAACAACGGCAAGAGATTGTTTTAAAGCAGAGAACTGAAGAGCCGGAAACCCGAGAGAACCGCACTGCGATGGGACTGATGGCATGCCTCCTGCTGGAACACCCCAAGGGGCGATAGAAACCTGTTCCAAGTCAGCAAGTCGCATGATTCAAGATGCATTGCCTTGTGTCCAAAACTTAGGCGTAGACGATACGAAGAAGAAGAGTTGATGACCCAGCTCTCAAAATGCTCTCTTTCGTTTCCAAAACATGCAGTGCTCCGCAGAAAGTGGACCAGAGCCAGAGTGGCAGAAACCCTTAGGCACAAATTCACAAATGAAACCCAAGTTGCATGTTGCAGTACCCAAAGCGGACAAATGAGTGATTCCGTTGGCAGCGAGCCACAACTTGGGAAAACTCAATATCATCGAATGCTTGTCAATATTAATTTTCCTGTGCTTAGGCAAAAGCGACGCCAGCAAGAGGCCCGTTATGCAACCGGGGCCAAGGTTTCTCAAGCTGTGGTGAGAATTCGCGGAATTATCACAGAGTGACCATCTGGTTATTTAACATAGCCATGGAAAATGGCCCATTTATAGATGGTTTACCTATTAAAAATGGTGATTTTCCATGGCTATGTTAAATAGCCAGATGGTAAGTGAGAGTCTGACAATCCACAGAATCTCATAGCTTTCAGTGGAAATGGCATACCGATGTGCTGGATCTGGTCACAGGCTGAGCAGCAGCAGAAATGGATGAGTCAACAGTGGATGCAACAAGCTGGTGGCGTGGTGCCGCAGGCAAGATGCGTTGAACCGTGGTAGCCGTGGCACAGCCCAATTCAACCAGTGAATCATGGTGAATCCCCGACAATTCCTATCTCCGCCAATCTCCGCCAGGGCGGAGCAGTTAGGGGCATGGGAGCCACCGCTGATGCGTGAGGAACTAAGTGAAAGGAGAAAACAAGGCCTTCACACGTGACACAAATAGCCGTTGCTCCGCATGAATTGGTCTAGAAGTGTTTCCTCCAAGGTATCAAGCACAGCTGCAGCAGCAACAGCCACAGCAGTCTGATGCCTGGCAGTAAGCTTGAATGTGCATATAATATACATATTATATATGGTGCACATATATGATTTTCTATGTATACAAAAGCAATTTAGCGAAGTGAGGCAGTAGGTGGACAGTCATGCTTTCACCGGACCAATCATGTTTTGTTTCCAAGTATTAATAAGTGAGCTGCATCACCATCTCTGAGGCAGCAACAAGCAGCAGCCATGCAGTGGAACCCGTCCCAGCAGCAGCAGTGGATGCAGGCAACACAGCTCCAGTGCGGGTAGACTCGCTACCAGTAGTACTGTATCAATCTGTATCATTTGTCTCACATCTCTATCATTCTCTATCTAATATATGAAATGATAATTCACCAACCCCAAATTTGGTGTCAACAGCCGTCAAACAGCACTGGTGTAGCAAATGGCATTGGATTTTTGCAGCATCCACCTTTTATCCTGGATATTCCCGGGCTTAAAAACAATTAGGGATTTGGGAGTTGGTATGCGATGACAATGTTGTTATGATAAGAACGTCCATAGAAGAGAGAATGCTTTCCCTATGGCTTTGTCTGAGAATTCCCTCTCACAGTGGCCAGAACTGCGGGTATACATGGGTATACGGTATCCGGTATACCATGGCATACCCATTTTCAGGATTTTTCAGGTACCCTAGCCATGTCATTTTCACATGCTCCTGACCAGGCAATGGCATACCAGGCACAGGGGTGGCAGATGGCTCAGCGAGGTCTTCAGATGCAGGGCATGGCCCAGGCAGCCTCGGGTCAGGACGGGTGCCCCCTGGGAGTGAGTTGTCCCATTTTGGCTGAGAAAACCTGCGAACATTTGCTGTCAATGGGATGATTTCCCCCACATATTGGATGGTCAATCCCCGGTCAAAATTCGGCCCAGAGAATATGGGATGGTTTCCAAAGTTGAATAACCACTAGTGATCACTAGTGTATGTGTACAGTAAATTATGTAAAAAAAGGCATTGTGGCGCCCTGAAATCTTAGCGCCAATCAGCTCTCCAGGACCAGGCGGATTGGCGGGCTTACTACCAGCAGTGACCTCTTAAGTCCAGACATTTGCAGAGGAATCACAGAGATAACCATATTACCCTCTGGTAATTTAACATAGCTATGGAAAATCACTATTTTTAATGGGAAAATCCACTATAAATGGCCATTTTCAATAGCTATGTTAGTTTACCAGAGGGTAACCTTAAGCATCATTTAGCCACCATTGACCATCATTAACCATCAGAAAAACCATCTGGTCAACCATTTGGTCTTAAATTTTCTCAAATTGGATTTCTGAAACCACATTCTAAAACCCCACCTTCGACATTTTGCATTAGAACCTGTTGCGTTTACACGATTGTGCTCCTGCAATCAAATCGACGTGGAGGTATGTAGATCAACAGCAGCGTGGCCAGAATGCTTTTGTCTTGGCCTAAGGCAATGATCATAAATCTTCTTCAACATCTTCTTGATCCTGTCATTGTGCAAATTTGGTTGTACTGTATCTCTTTTTCACCTAGCTTCCGAAGCCATCTAAGGCTGCACAACAGCAAGCGGGCGGGTCAGAGCCTTACACATGGACATATTTGGACAAACATGGAGAATGTCGCCTAGTCGCCTAGTCGCTGCACAAGTTGATTAGTTTCTATTAGTTTGTGGAGAATGTTCCTTTCATCTCTAAGGTATCAGAACCAGCAAGCCTTCAACTATGGCACATACTCGCGCGGTGAGCGCATTTGAGGGCGCTGTAGGGCTGCCTTGAGACGCCCGCAGATGGCTGAGACATGTGAGAGGTTGTAGGATGCTCCATTAGTCCGTGTCACATTCAGTGCAAGCGGATAAAATTTACGAAATCTTGAAACACTGCATGCCATAATTGAGAAGGATTGTGGACCTGAATGAACGCGGGACTTTTCGGGAGCTGATAGTTGGATCTTTGGACAATTGCCAGCTGGCTTGTTCCACTTTCAAGCTCAAAGTCAGTAGATACTATGCTCCTCCTCAGGATTTGCCGAATTCAAGGTACTAAAACCCATCGCGTGATATGAAAATCCAATCCTCCCGTTAAAACGGGTTTTTGGACAGCGCTTCCCCGCTGTATTGGAAATGCGAGGAGGTTGCAGACTGGCACCAAAATGCCTCAAGTCACCCCTAAGGCAAACAGAGGCGACACATCAAAGCCCGGAGATTTTGCCTCTGTCTCACTCGGAGAGAAAATGTCAGGGCTTGGTTTTCCAGTCTAGAATATTCTAGAATCAAAGATAGTCACAATATCTCAAAGTAATCATGATGGAAACTTCTCACACTCCAAGGGACAAGATCTGCGTCTAAATCCACTTCCAACTCCACTTGGCCAGAGATCTTTATCCAGTGTTATCCTAGATACTGGATTCACAACTTTGAGCAGGGACTTGCAGGCGGTCTGGGCTATGGCGGCTATGCAACATTTTGGCTTCGAAATTGCACAGGAACCAGTTGTAGTGTAGATTTGGCGGAAGTCCTCGCTGCATTGTGAGGCAAGCTGTGATTTGATCCTATCCTGAAGCATGTCTATCCTTCTTGTTTGCCTTGAAGCTCCCCAAGAACTGCAATAGTCTAGAAGCGAAATGGCCTCCCAGCCTCTTGCAGATACTGTACACTTCGCAAAAATCGCCACAGCTCACCTCTCTGTAGTTGCAACTTGACACGCTGTGCTTGTACTGAATTGGTCCAACTGCTTTCGTATCAAAGCAAACCAAGACAACCAGGGATCCACGACCCTTCTCACCTTTCGACATCTTTCGACCACAATAAAAAACTTTGATCCTCACAACAAAGCCTGGCAATGGAAGGTGTTCAAAGATATCCATAGATACTCGTATCCAAAATGGTTTGAGACTCTTGTCCTGTCTATGTGCACCTAGCATGCAGGTCGCAAACATGCCGGGCGAAGGCAAGGAAAACCATGAGCCGTTTAGATCTGTCTCGTCTTCACCGAATTTGCGAAGGTGGGATAGATGCCCCGCCGCCACCATCTGGCTTGGGCAACTTCAAAGGAGTGATGCTCTGCAGAGACCTCAGACCTTGTCCGATTTTGTAACCTTCCTGATGGGTTGAACGGATTTGAATGTATTTGAACCGACATAATATGATGTGATAGCTACATTCATTGTATATCCAGGCCCAAGCACACAAGAGTGCAACTTACTCATACATAGTCTGTAAAGCTACAGGATAGTTGGCGTTCAGCAATTCCACATACAGAAACCGATTCTGATTCCTGTGATTGTCGTGACATTTGCTGCCCAGGTAATAGGCCCAATGATGACTCCAAGATGGCCAGCGACATGAAGGAGCCATTTAGGTGCTGCCACTGGGATCAAGCAGGGGAGTTCCAGCAAATTTGATGCAGCGCACAACGTGATTACTGGGAAATTGCTCTGGAAGGAAACAGATGAAAAACACGGTATTTAGCTACGATACCTTTTGCATCCTTTTATCTTTTGCCATTAAGAGATAGAGAGAGAGAGAGAGGGAGACAACGATTAGAAAGATGGACACAGAGGCTCACAGAGGGCTGAGTTTTGGGCATGGTTGTTGCCCTAGTCACTGCCACTGTTAGCCCCATGGTTGGAAGTCTTTGACGACTGCCAGGTCTGCAGTTGCTCAGACATCCGAGTTGGGTCTGACTCCCATGCGGTGGAAGCCTGAGGCTGTTGTTGCCATGTTGAGCAATGCACAGTTTGTTGATCTTTCGCACGAGATACCGTTGTACGACCCAGGAACTTTGAGCCCACTGTCAAGAAGAGGGGTCCTAGCGCAGCCCTTCGACGGCATGTGTACTTGGCTCAGTCTATTTCAGTTGCAAGGATGGTCAAGCACGGCAGACTTCAGTCACCTGGTCATATTAGAAAAACATCAAACACCTATGCCATCAATGGGCCATCAATCCATAATCTTATTTTGTTTTGAATCATTCGAATTCATTTTGGTTCCGAAAAACTCTGCAGACCTTATATGGAAAACTAAGGCGATGGCTCCGAGAACTGCAAGAGCAGATGAGAGAAGATCGGCATCAGGCAAGCTAAATGCTGCATTTGAAATATGATGCCGCATCCTGGCAGTATCCTGGCAGTATGAATTGCTCAAAGTCACACAAAGGCATCAATGACAATAATGACATTGCAGTCGAGATTTTTCCCGTCTTAAAAGATCCAAGAATGTTGGCAGGTAGAGCAGGAAGGACAGGATGAGGAGGAAAAAAAGCAGAAGCTAAAGGCTACTTTTGACAAGTATGCTCCCAAGTCGCTGAATGTTTGGATCATTTTGGATCATTTTGGATCTGCTTTGATCTTGCTGGGTGGATACAGTGCACTTAGTGCACTTTGGAATGAGGCAAGAATGGCAAGAACATGCAAGAACCCAGTAACCAGTGGTAACCAGTGGTAACCAGTGGTAACCAGTGGTAACCAGTCACTACATTCGCTTTGAGTCCAAGGCACAGAGAAGCAGTACGCGGCATGATGAAAGAACGAGATGACAAGAAGAGAGAGGACGGACACACTTTGGACATCTTTGGACCATCATCGGATACTACGGATACAGTATTCAGATGTATTCAGCGTGAGGTGCATTTGACAGAATGAATGCTCCTTTGGGTCTTAAGGCGTCTTAAGGTTTCCTAGTCTTGTCGTCAAAGCACACAAACATTGATGGTATATGCAAGCCATTTCTGGTGGATTTTGAGATGGATATAATACGATATGATATCATATATATATATAATATATGTATATAATATGATTCCAATAGTTCTCCCAATAATCATCCCAATTTACCACAGACTTAGACGACCATCCAACCTCCAGGAGCAAGCAGCCGCCAAAGCAGAGAAAGCTGCCAAAGCTGCAGAGGTTCCGATGAAATCCGATGAAAATTGGGAGGCTATTTGTCAGAGTGAATTTGGCCTAATTATAGCTTCCCAGTCTTCCCAACTATGATTAACAATGACTGACACTGACAATTATATCTGACATTATATCAAGTGTTACAATTGATTTGCAGACAATTATGCACACAATTATCATTTTTATGTGCAACCAATCCAGGCGAAAGCCAAGTCAGCCGAGACTTCGCACAGTGCTCAGTTGAATCCAAGCAGAACAGCAACCATTGATCCATGTGCATCCTGATGTTTTCGAGACACATCGAGACGCCAGGATGCTGTCAGAAATCGCCCATGCTGCAGCAACGGCCATAGAGACGGAAAAGGAGCAACGGCCACCTCCAAAGGCTTGGAAGCGAGGGTGAAAACGCTGAAAGAATGTGAAATAATGTGAAAAAATGCGACAAAATGAACAAAATGAACTTGAAATAACTTGAAAAGTCTTCAGAATGGGACACTTGATTTAATTTGATTTATAGTCACTTCTTGTCACTTCTTGTTGCATGTATTTCATATTATTTCATTGTATGTCCAGAAAGTGTATCGGGTTTCACAGAAACATCCTTTGTCTTTTAGAATCCATCAGACACCATGCAAAGATTGTCAGGTGTCGAAGCCTCTTTGGGCCATGACAGAGCAGGCAGCTTGATTTGAGTGCCCCCAATGGTGAGCAATCCGAAGCAATCTCTTGAATAGTTGCAGGAAAAAGATCACTTTGAAGAAGAGGAAGCTGATGACCTCATCAACTTTGTCGAAAATCTTGACTTCGACAAATTTGCTTAAGACCTCAGAAAGCTCTTAGAAAGCTGTGTTCAAGCGAATTCAGGTGTCAAGTCTTGCAACATCTAAGGTTGGAGATTTGGAGTTTCGGCAAGCTCTGGGAGCATAAACCTTGGTTGGGAAGAGCACAGCGATGTGGACAGAAAGAATCCACCATGTACCCACACATCAATTCTGAGTGGTCAACATTCTGCCTTTCTGCCTTTATGCTTCGATTCCCTGATGCATTTCAGTTTCAAGCAAAGTGCCAGTGTTGTGGAGCTCCCAAGGCGCTCAAAGACCGTACTGGAAAACTAAAAAAAGAGCAAGATGCGTCTCTTGGCTCCAATCCTTCCTGAAGGCTTCCTTGTTCGCATTAGCCTTGCCGTCCATTGCTATTCTTGCTGCTTGACCATGCTTTTTTTGCTACTTTTTTCCACAATAGGTCCGGAAAAACCTGATCTTTTGCCACTGTGAGCCACTAGTGAGAGCATGGCCGAGTTGACCTTACCATGATGAAACGAGCATGTGAAGTTGTGTTGTCAGCTTCGTCTTGTGCTTCCAGGTTCAAAGATGAGCTTCTTGCGAACTTCAATGCCAGCTATGATGATGACGATGAGGCGAAGCATCAATGGCATCACAGTTTTCTCCCTGTGAAACATGTTTTGGCAACCCGTTGCAGGCCCGTTGCATACAAAGACGTGACTGCAGATGCACACAGATCCGATCAGATCAGAACATCTCTTTGAGGCCAGTACGGCCGCTGGAAGCGCCAAGCTGGAGGCACCGGAGAAGTGCACCTGGACTTGTCATGACCTGTCCAGTTGGAACCTTTCTTTTCAAGGAAAATTAATGTAAATGATGGGTAAATGATGGGATTGGTTCTTGTACAGGATGGCGTTGACGGCCAGAGTGTATTTGGCGACCTCAAGAGCGAGTACAGCGTAGCATCGAGCAGAAGATCCAGGCAGCATAGGGACATGATGAAACCAACTACTTCAGACATTCATGGGACTGCACGACCTTTGCAGCAGAGGGTGGCTTATGACAGGAAAGAAGGTCGAGAAAATGTCCAGAAAGACTGGGTCAGAATCTCAGTGCAGAGAAAAATCTGTATATCTGAGTGTCTCAACAGCCTTGTTTGAAGTGAGCCTTGTTTGATGCTGACCGATGAACCAACCTCGACCAAGGACAACTCGACCAATGCAGAGGATCGACCAGCGGTAGATCAAGAGGTGAAGGAGATGGCAGAGGTGAGCACCAGTTGGGAAATGGCTCCACTGGCTCCAATTCCATTGGATCTTTAAACAGGGGATTTTCCAATGGGGATTTTCCATCAATGGGGGCTGAAAAAAATAGATGGAAAATCTGGAACATCCCATGGAAAATCCCATGAACACATGGATGATTTGGGGGGAAACAAATCCCCCATTTTAGGAAACCTCCAAATCCTAAATCCCATTAGACACCCAGTTGACCTGAACTGACCTGACAAAATCAGGCGGTGCTGGAGGCAAATCCAAAGTTCCGTGCGATACACTCTGGGGCCTCCGTTCAGAAGATCATAGAGAAGGTGCAGAGAAACCCCGGATGTTCTTGTTTACAGTATCTGTTGTGGTAGAAAGATAGTTTATTCGTTATATTTCAATTTTCTATACATTTCAATGCATAGTGAATTGTGGATGTATTGGTGTATTGATGAAGTGTGGAGATGAGTTGTCAAATTGTGGTTTACGTTGATGCCGATGGTCCGATGGTAGATTTGTATCATTTTGTAGGCATCATTTCACTGGGTTCATTGGAGGTGCGAGGAGACCAAGCCGTTGAGGTCAATTTGGTTGACCATATGCGCCTTGAAGGCCGGAGCTGTGTCGCATCATGATACAGTGATGCGGCTTGTCCAAAGTGCTGGCCTCTGGATCCGGTTCTTTTGGGATTCTCTACAAGCATCAAAAAGCCCGCAAAAGCCTAATAATTCTAATGTGATTAATATGCATGTATGCCTATTATATGCTTCATATCATGTGCATAACATTTACTGTATAAAAGTGCTATCCAGTATCCAGCTTTGCCTGGCATTGAAGCTGACGGGTTTGATGGCCAGCTCCCTGTCCCGTGCCGGTGATCACGGCATCTTCGGACACCCAAAACCGGCTGTACAAGCCTGCAGGATCCCCAGGATTTTCCAGGGCTTTTGAGCTATTTTGAGCTTTCAGAATCTTTCAGAATCTTTCAGAATCTTTCAGAATCTTTCAGATCATATCATTTCTGCGTTTTCAGCATGTTCGCCTGGACCATCCGGAACAGATGTTCTCTATCCGAGGTTGATCCTTCAATGCTTCCGTACCTCTACCGCTCTCCAGCGATTTGAGCTTCAGGCCGGACCAGGAAGCTTCACGTTATGTCGATGGAGATAGCACCGTCATTGCACCTTCCAGCAGCGTCAATGTGTTCGTGTCCAAAAACAGATTGAAGTGACTCCCACACGGAAGTGGCTGCGCCAGGCTGACTGTGCAAAGCCTCGCGCGAAGCGTCGCTTGGATTGCAGTGTGGCGTAGCGGCGTAGATGGTGGGTGTGGCAGGGTCGTCTCGAAGCGCTGCGAGGCGCTGCGCAGTGAGCTGTTCAAAGAACAGCGACCTGGAAGAACGCTCGCCTTTCCAAAGTTCTAAGTTCAACAAGTGAAGTAATCGATGTAATCATATGTAATTAATCGATGAAATCGATGTATTCATACAGTAGCATCATGTAGCATCCAGAAACATCAACATGAATCTTTTGCAATTACAGCTAGCCAGATATACTGGATAGTGCTGGTAGAAAAAAATCACAAGACACACTAGCTGCACTAGCTTGGTCAGCAGAGATGTACAGGTCCACACACAGACCCAGCCATATGCCCCGTGTAGTGTTTCACAAGTGTTCAGCTGCGATCAGACGGATGCGACTCTGCACGGTGTGCCACAAGGAAACAATATTCTCCTGCAAGATCCATTCACAGTTGTCCATCAAGAAGTACCACATATATATAATATATATATTTATATATATATAATATATATTTATCTACTATACACTGATACTCTATGATACAGATACACTGGATATTGCATGGGTTACACTGGATATTGCGTGGATAGCCCTAAACTCACACACTTGAGGAATGTTTCCCCCCAGAGCATGCCTGCTAATTCGCGAACTGAGCGAGCTCAAGCTCTGGAGAAGGAAAGGAAAAGACAAAAGACTTGTTTTGAGCTGTTTGGAGAATTTCGGAGCCGTTTTCTTCAGATTTTGGGTTTTGTTTTCAAGCCGATGGCCAGGAAAACCTCTGTTGAATGTGAGATTAATGAGATGTGCATTACCTTGGCATACTCTGGACATTGCTTTCAGCTTGAAAGGTCATGAAGTGCACAGCAGAATGAAAGGCCAGTTGAACCTAAACAGAACCTGCCTGAAATATATGACCATCGTTTCCGCAAAGAACCAGAATAGTCACAGACCATGGTAACCATGGCTCTTTTGCATACTAATATCAAATATGAGTATTTGACTATCTCTGAATCTAGAGTGTAGACTCCTTACTGAAGTGTACCCATGACTGCACCACTCGTTGCCAAACTTCTTCGAACATTTTTCTTTGAACTTCTTAGTTTCCCGTTGGCAGCAATCTGTACAGAGTGATTCAAGGGTTTCCGCCCAGCTGCCTTCGCGGTGCGCAGCACAGCAGACTTGGAGCAACGACAGCAACGACTGTTTGGGGACCTTCAGATGGCCATGATTTTCAGGTGTGTCCGCCTGGATCCTGCGGCGGATGGAGGCCCATTTTGTGGAGTCAACAAAATGGGCAGATTGAGTGTAGCAGAGCATCCGGGAGGCCACTGTGCGGCTGTTGGAGAATGAGCCAAACCTCACTGTCCAGGTCCTGTTTCGGTGGGAGTGGGTGAGATGACCTTGATCTTTTGGACATATGGGGCATGGGGTTTGTTGGTTGAACCATGTTGAACCCCATATTTTGGGATCCTCCCGCAGGTGCAGTGGCGAGGTGCCGAGCTGAACCTTCTGCGGTCCAGAGAGGTGCCGATCAGTTCATGGCTTTCTGGGAGAATCAAAGGGATGCCTAGGAGCGCCCAGTAGTGGCTGATTTCTTCTGGAAGGGCAAAGTTGTCAGACACCACACACCTCTGCCACTTGCGCCCTGTTTCTTACACCGAGCTACATTTTTCGACACTACAGCCCTGGCTTAGGAGCCGGTTGAACGTTTCCTTCAACGTTTGGGTTTGAGCTGGTGTCTTAGTTGAGGCAGGGTTTCCTTAAGTGGTAAGGCCAAGATGTGGCTCGAGAGTTCATTCGCTGCCTTTGTGCCAATACTCAGTGCACATGCGACGGAAACAACAACATCTGTCGGCATCCTTGATGATTCGGCTCTTGGGTGCTTCTTTTTTCCTCCCCCTCAATCAAGGCTGCAGCAAACAAGTCAGCAAGCTCCTAAGTGGCCCAGCTCAGTACTCAGCAACCGCACCAACAATGCGCTGGAAAAGAGAGGCTTTCAAAATGAGAAACCTGCTCAATGGCTGGAGTTGTAGGAAGGTAATGGAAGCTGTTGTTTTTTTCCTCTGTGATTGTGAGTGGCTAAGGATAAAAAAAAGGCGAAGAAGGTGCGTTGCTTGTTTTTTTTTTTCCATGGGGCGGTGGCAAAGTTTTTTCAGCTGGGATCTTTCCTCTGATGCACTCCGAGTACAGGAAATTCAGCAAATGCAGAAAAAGACGAAGGCTGGAGCCGAGGCTTGATTCGTGATGATTCTTGCACATCCTTGGTGTCGTTCAGTCTCGCTGTTGGTGTTGGGCTCTACAGGCCATAACTATTGAAGCTGTCAGAACTGTCAGCTGTCAGCCCTGCATTTCTGAGGCAGGTGCAAATACTGCAAGCTCAGTGACAGCAGCATCCTCAAGACTCCAGATTTTATATGCAATTATGTGGCTCTTCTGGACCACCTCCAAGCACTACAAATGGGTATCCAAAGCCTTTTCCAATCACCGTCTTCTTGCTTTGTGTCAGAAAAGGATTAATTATTGGTGAGGAGCAGATGGGTTTCCGATCACATGAGGTCGCACTCTTTGATGCGAATGATGAAAAAGTAGCTGTTGGCATGCCCGTGGCAGAGGCTGCATCGCAGGTTTTGTATGTTTGGTATGTTTTTGTTCCGTGTACGCAACAGTCAACCTCTGTCAACGTGACAGACAGGCGTGTTGGTTCCGGCAAACTCCTTTTCTTCTCTTATCCAAGTGGAGAGATTTGCGGCTGGAGGCGCTGCGGCGTGCCTCCCACATGGAGATCGAGGTGAGAACTGTGGTCCTTTGCACATCGTCGAAAGTGATGGCCATCGATTTAGGCTGCATACATCCCCAAGTCTTTATCGCTTTCAAGCTCTTGTAGCCAGGGTGAGCGCTTGCCCATCAGTGTGAATCCTCCCTCAGTGCAGAAGCTGGAGGATTCCTGACACGTTTCAGAGAAGATGTCAACACAACATGTGAAGACGGGATGGGTAAGTTGGTGACACTGATATGATATTGCTACTCGTTGGGATTACTGTACTGTATTTACCGTCGTATAGGTCTTGGCACAAGTGATGGAAGATGCTGATATCGAGTCCCACACTTCATTGCCTTCTTCTGCTATCAATGCATTGGAAAGAGAACCATGATACATACTTGAGATATGTTATGATATTGTAGGGCTTCGCACCAAGGGGCCAGGTTGTGGTTCCCGTGGTTCCTGTGGAAGGCATGTGATCATTTGTGCCATGCTTGTCTCGAAGCTGTGATATTTCTAGTTCGCGGGTAGAGTGTGAAACCCGCTCTAGCTTTGGTACAGAGGCGTCAGGCGCTGAGTCAACCCCAAGTTGCTGAACAACCACGCCCAACAACCTAGTGGGAAACATAACATTCTCATGTTGCCGCGTTTCAAAACCAAATCCAGAATAACACGGGATAACACAGGGATGCACAGGTGCATGTGCTGAATTGATCTGAATTGCAGGAGTCATTCTGGCATCTTTAGACTTTGTATGCGGAGCCTGCGAGCATTACGAGCCCTCGAAAGCCAAGGTTTTGCCGCCCACGCCGAATGGCGGGCTACGAGCACTTCCCTGAGTTGTTTTTAGAGGTACTGCATAAGCCATCATAAGCCCTCTTGCTAACATGATTTGTCAGATGGGACAGTTCAAAAGTTTAACGGACAGCAGAAGGCCATCCTTCTGGAAGTTGTTTGTTTTTCCTCAGTTCAATCTTAGTTCCTCCCCTCCGGATTTGTCAAACTCATACATGTTCTGCAATTTCTTGTGTCGCCTGACACAATCTGAGGGCAAGCGACGCCGCCAATTCAGAGGCAGCGAATTGTGTTGTTTAGTGAATCAAGCCATTTGCGTCACCAGCATGCACAAATTGCCGTCAAGTACACTAACAGTATAGTCAGTCCTGGTTGAAATTCTGATGGAGCAGGAGCGGAAAGGACTTGACTTGCCTTCGTACCTGCCAGATTCTCAAATTTGATGTGCTCCAAGCACCATGCAATTTTTTCCTGAGAACAAACATTTCTATTTTCTTTCGGGAATTCTTTGCTTCCACTTCTGAAGTGCTACAGGAAAGATATCCAAAAGCTGGGCAGTGGAGCATATGGCGAGGTGCAGATTTAGGAACTCTGTGAATCTTCATTCGCTTCCTTCACCCCCTTGATGCAGGTCCATCTTTGCGAGGACTCTAGGAATGGATCGCAGGCCACCAACTGGACCCGGTGTCGCTTTGGTGTGTTTACATCTTAGGATTATTAGTAATTAGGTCATATTAGGTCTGCTGTGGTTTTGGACAGTGCCCTCGCCTTCCTGACCTTTCAGGTTGCAGTCAAAGTAATTCGCAACTTCACGCAGGACAGCCTTGAAATGTGTCAGATCCACAGTACCTCGAAGTTCCATGTTGGAACTCTGAGAGCAGGATCCCCTCTGTGGGAAAAGGATACTTCGGGAGTTGGCGTCTTAAAGTTCACAGTGCCACAGTGCGTCACATTTTCAATCCCAAGGCATCCCAAGGCATCCCAAGGCATCCCAAGGCATCCCAAGGCATCCCAAGGCATCCCAAGGCATCCCAAGGCATCCCAAGGCATCCCAAGGCATCCCAAGGCATCCCAAGGCATCCCAAGGCATCCCAAGGCATCCCAAGGCATCCCAAGGCATCGGCATCCTTTCGGCATCGATCATGGGCAGATGGAAGCAGGACGCAGAACCATGGCCTTGCCAAGGATCCGGCTGCTCGCGGCGCTGCGGCATGAAAATCTTTTGAGGGTCCGGCTCTGAAGCTGAACACGGCCATGGAAAATGGCAGTTTTTAGTGGCTGGAATGATCTGGATCATGGTAAATCAATGTAAATGCAATGTAAAACATCTGTGAATGGTCCATTTTCCATAGCTATGTCAAATTGTCAGAGGAAGGTCTTTTGGGCCAACATCACTGCCATCATCTGCCAATGTTGTTTAGCCTATCTTGTCTGACTTGCAGTTGCTGGATCTCCCTCCAGTGCCGGATCCCGACTTTGATGATGTCTACATTGTGATGCCGAGTCCTAAGCTAGGTTTTGATTACTTTGTAGAATAGATTGAATAGATCCTTTCGAAAGGAAATGCGGCGGCGAAAAGCTCAAGGCAAAGTTTTTGTCCTGATTCCAGGCCTTATTTGCATTTGGACCTTCACAGGGTTGGACGCTGAGCTCATCCTTCGTCAGTGGATCCTTGTTCCTGGACACCAGAAAGCCGTGCTAAGCTGTGTTGAGGTCATCTATTCCAAGATGAAGCTTTCAGAATCTCATTGCCAGGTCCCGCTGATTCCATGAGCCTTTCTTCAATTTGCCCTCCATCTCATTACTTCCTTAGCAGGCATTCGTGTGCCAAATTCTCAGAGGTTTGAAGGACAGATGCTCATGCCATGTGCTGATGTAAGAGATGGGTATGGGTCAATACCTATAGATACATTTTTAGGGGAATGACCATCCATTTACCAGCTATTTTGATGTTCACCAGGGGGATAGGGTTTTGACCCATCCCCATGTAAGAGATCATTTGGCATCGCGCCAACTGAACTTTTGAGCGCTGCAGTACCTGCACTCTGCTGGAGTCGCCCATCGTGACTTGAAGCCAAGCAACATCCTGGTGAACAAGGACCGCCACGGGCAATCATGGACAGATATGCCAGATATTTCCAGATATGCCATGACATTCATGACAATGCCTGCACAACCCAGATGTGTAAGTGTCTCATGACCTAGTCGAAAAAGCAGCCAACGGGCAACGGAAGTTCTAAATTCTAAATGTTTCTAAACCATATGCCCGGACACACCGTTCCATCTTGGCCTTCGAAACAGAAATTCCGTAATGAATTTTCTTCCTACGCAATCTTAGCGGCCAGGACTGTGCCTTGAGAATCGCTGACTTCGGTTTGGCTCGAGGCCGTTCCAATTCTGAGGCCGACAGCATGGGTTTGGTGTGCTCATCGCGGGGGTTCTTCATTCTTCAAACGCAGATATCGGATGATTTGGTTGACATTGACAATTTTCTAGTATTTTCTAGCCTCGAACACATATTGACAAATTACAAAAAAGTGTATGGCTTGATAAGGCCTGGATTCAAACCACTTCCGGAAAGCCCCTTTTCTATCAGAAGTGAGACAAATAATGAGAAATGTACAACACATTGCAACGCCATTTTGGTCATGCAGGAAGAGCTGACAGACTATGTGGTGACTCGCTGGTACCGTGCCCCGGAATTGATGTTGCAGCCTTAGATTTTTGCAAAGAAACTGATGCAACTGGCAGCCATGATCTTTCTTGCTGCGCTTCCCCAGGCTGCTGCCTTGTGGATATTTTGAGGCGGGCTCCAGGAAAACTCCTGGCTAAACTTTTGGAAGAAAGCTGTTGGTTTTGCTTGCAATGATAACCCATGAGACAATAGTGCACATGTGAATATAATCTACAATGACAATGTTATATACCATTCTATAATATTCTGTAATCATATAATTACTGTATATATATAATTATAATATAATTGTCTCGATGTGATTTGCATATTCAGGACTTGGACCATTCACATTGAGCACTTGCCAGGCAGTGGACTTGTGGTCCGTTGGCTGCATCCACTTTGAGCTGATGGCCAGGGATGTATCTCAGCTGGATCACTTCCAGAGAAATGCAGATTGAAGATAACTTCAGATACTCAAGCCGACTCAAGCCATTCACAGCTGGCATCCTTGGGGCATGGGTTGCTGCTGACTCTGGTGCTCCAGTGGTCAGGGTTGACACGTCAGGTGCTTTTCCATGGGAAGGACCATGTGGACATGCTGAAGAGAATCGCTGCCACCCTTGGGTGGGGAGCCAAGGGCTTGTGGCGGCTAGAACCAAATTTATTCAGACATGACATGCAGTTCAAACTGGGAATCTCTGGTTTTCCATAGGAGCGGAGCTTAAAGAATTCCTTTTATGCAACTCCAATCTTCCCTTTGTGAGAAGGGAAGAGATTTGAATTTCGAAACAGTGATCTGTGAAGGACTTGTGCCCAAGATAAGAAATCGGACCTTTTTGCCTCGATCAGAGATCTGATCCGCCAGATTTTCAATGGAGAACGATCTCACCTGGGTGCCTGAGAAGGAAATGGCGCAGGCGTGGGGAGCGCCTTCCAACAGGATCAAAGGAAAACCATAGTGTGTATATGACATAATATGACTACATGATATATAATGATACTGTATATCATACTTATCATATACACACGTAGTAATTATCATGTAAACATATCGTGCATGCTGTAGCCAAGAATTCCGAGGCCAGCAAGATCCCTGATACAATCCAAAGCCCTTTGCAGCTGTTTGCTGACAATCGGTTTTAGATTTGTTGGTTTAACATGGTTTAATAGGTTTAATCGTGTTTTTAAGCTTGTTTTCACGGTTTGAACATATTTGAATATACATGTGGGCATGCCACTGTGTTTGGAGCGTTTTTGAGTCTCTTCATGCTTTTGGACCTGCAGCTGCTCCGGCCAGCACATACATGTACATTTTTTCTCTCTTCACTCTTACATGAATATACGTATTGATATTTGTATAGAACATGAGTGCATTCCATCATTGCACCGTGACACCCACATTGCTTCTGTTTCAGGTCTTGGGAATGGTGCGAACCCTGAAGCTCCCTGAGGAGCCAAAGGCTTTATCATCTTTGGAGGCCTGGCTAGTTACGGCATGTTACGGCTAGTTGCATTGAAGAACTTGGACAAGTTGGGAAATGACAACGAACCACTTCGTTTGATGTTCTTTCTTCCGCTTGAATGCCACAGGAACGCTTGCCTAAGGCGTCAGAGGCCGGCAGATGGCAATTTTTGTGAATCATCCAAGTAGAAATCACGGCTAATGTGGGAATCATGGGTAAATTATTATACACCGAATTGATTAATAGGGATGAATATACCCACAATATTCCAATCATTGGTCACGTGCCGCGGGCCGCAGTGTATCAATTACCATGTCAAGCCCAGCATTTGATGCCAAGGATTGTTTGGATCTATTGAACAAATTCTTAGACAAGATCCCTACACGGCGGATCACAGCGTCTGTTCCTGAGAGTGCAGGAAAATTCCCATCCTGAATTTTAACTCGGTCAACCTAGGTCTGCTGCGTTGGATCATCCGTGCGCAGCCAATCACTGTGCTGGTGAACAAGAAAAGTCTGGTGTTTGTAGTGGGTAATACCACATGATGGCTACCAGTCTGATAGTTCATGCGCAGCCTTTCTTTTAATTTTGGCATTTTTTCTGGAAGGTACCTCGCTCATCTACATGATCCCGCAGGGGAGTCCACTGCACCCAGACCTTTTGCTTGGGGCCAGTGCCTTGGAAATCCTTTCTGAAGCGTGTTGATCGGGTTGCAATGGTTTGACCGTGCATGCTCAGAAATATGGCACAATCTTGCAATATCCTTTCAATTTCACATCCACGGTGAGATCTCCTAACCTGATACTTTGCAGATTTCGATCACTTCGAACCCTCAAAGCGAGCGCTGAAGGACAGCATAGAACTGAGTTGCTGACTCTGCTGACTCTGCTGACTCTGCTGACTCTGCTGACTCTTTCTTGTTGCCTGAATCACTGAAGCCATCCATGCCGCAGGATAGGGTCTATGCTGAGTGTGCCCGGCTGCATCCAGAGATTGTCCAAAGCTCATTGACTTTTCGGAACAGAGATCATAGTTCTGTGAATCGAGTGATGCGGGACTGTGGGATGGTTTCAAAGAAGGACCAACCACTTGGATCAAGCAAGGATCTTGTATATGTATGAGTATAATTATAATATATTATAATATATTATAATGGAGTTCCAGGGGTAATGACTTTGACATTTTTGACTCGTGGGCCTCGTGGGTACCACAGATGGAACATGATGGAACATACTTCAGGTGGCTCGCGACAAAGAGTGGCTATCTGCCCGCGGCTTCCTGCCACAAGGATCACAAGGACTGGGATGGTCCCGAAAAGTCCTGGCTGTCACTGGAATGACTGAGCTTAGTCGGCTTAGTCGGCTTAGTCGGCTTTGTCACCAGTACTGGAGCTCTCAAGCAGAATGAATATCAGAGAATCATTTCAAGAGCCAACAGAGTGCATCTATGATCATTTATGTGCATTTGGAAGATATATGAAGATTCAAAGTGTCTGCAAATTCAAAGTCGTCTAAAACGCCACATGCCCCACATCCCCTCAGGTCAACCAGCACAGACCCCACTGGTGCGCTGATGAAGTGCGACATTTGCAGCGCACCACTACGTCAGGAACTGCTCCTCTTGGGCCTCCTCCCAGCAGAGCACCAAGGCCGAGACCACTGGCCAGGTAATTCATCATGGCATTGCATGACAGTCACGGCATTGATGTAAATGTATTAACATGTCACGAAAGGTAGCGTCAGCTACCTGAGTTCTCCGTGCTTCAGCACAAGCTTAGGGGGTATTGGGGGGCCAGCCCACGGAATTCATGGAATTCTCGCCGTTATGTATTGGATATCAATTATAAGGGGGGGGGCCCCCCCCCCCGAAAATGGTCATGGGTTCAATTCCCACGGGTGACGCGGTCACGGGCCCCCACATTAGAGGCACACTTTCCATGAGGGAGATGTCCCTGTAGTCCAGCATAATTGGTATGCTTCAGCCTCAATAACAGTTGCTGCAAGGGGTCTTAAAAAGGGGTTTTAAATAAACCCCTTTTCGTGCATCATTTCACGCTGCACAAGACACCGTATCATGCAGTCATGCTCTGGATAAAATCATCTTAGACTGCGCAAAAACGTTTTTGGTGTATCATCTTAGGGGCGCAGCATTTTGACACCACTCCTCTCCCACTACACTACCTTTCGTCCGCCTCCGCCTGCTCTCAAGTATTTGATTAGAATTCCATGGCATTAAAGCGACGTGGTGCCCTTATGTGCCCTTTACGTTTGCATGTTGAAGTTAACAGTGTTTGGTTGACGCGATTGAAGCCTCGGAATCTTGATTGTTTGTAAGCTTGCAATGCAGGCCACCAACAGTGGTCGGAATCTCGGGGTATCAGAAGCAGATAGCAAAAGGCAAAACACGATAGGGTTCAGCAGATCAAAATGCAACCAACTGTTATACATGCGCTTGAAATCAAGTGTGAAGTGTGCTGCGGATGCAATTACGTTGAAACTTTGCGATGGGTACAACAAACATTCCTGAAAGCTGAGCATTCCAAGGTCACAAGCATTTGAATGAGCATTCGACTTGAGGCTTGAGGCAATTGCCCTCACCGTTAGTTTGATGGGCTGTGACCTGCCCTGTGTCGAGATTTGACATCAATGAACTTGGAAACAAAGCTGGTAGTGCTGCGAGCTTTTCTCCAATAATGACAATTTTGAGCGGATATCATGTCTTGACACTCAGTTGCTCGGAGCGCACATGAGGGAGCCAGGTCTCCTTCTCCTGGTCACTGAAAATGAACTTGCACAAGGCATCTCATGGCTTTTCCCGTGGGATCCATGAATTTGTTGCAAGCCTCGCGGGGGCAGTTCACGGACTGGACCGCAATTTCCAAGCAGAGTTCGGAGTCGCGTTGGCTTCACAGGGAGCCATGGCAATGGGATCCATGAACTGCCACCCGGGCGATCCTCGGCTCCTGGGTGCATTTGCAGAGCACCCTGAAGCACTGGAACTTCGCGGCTCTTGATGGTGCTACACTATCTACACTGCGGCCTGAAGCGTAGAAGTGCCATGGATCAATACATACTACATGAGTACATGTGGAAATTATATGTATATGGATATGGATAATGATATGTATAATATATATATATATTTAAGGGCTGACGCCCCTCGTCGGCTCCGCCGGATTTCTCGACCCTCCATTTCATCGCAGTGTGGGCTTGAAAGCTTTTGGATGGGGACCTGCTTCAGAAATATATTCCTTATGTTTTTTGAAAAAAGTTCATGGAATAGGAACTTTGTTGGAAATAGACGGCTTTTTTGGGGAGCAAGTGAGTTCCCGAAAGCTGTGTAAAGACTTCTTTGTGTAAAAGCTTCTGTGTGTGAAAGCTTCTCTGTGTGAAACGTCTGTGTAAAGATTTCACTGTGTGTAAAAGCTTCCGTGTGTAAAAACTCTCTGTGTAAAGTGTAAAGGCTTCTCCGTGTAAAAGCTTCTGTGTGTAAACGCGTCTGTGTGTGAAAGCTATATATCTGTGTAAAGACTTCTTTGTGAAACAGCTTCTGTGTGTAAAGGCTCCTAGACGTTTGCGTGCAAAAGCTCCTTAGAGTAAAGACTTCTCTGTGTAAAACCTTCTGTGTGTAAAAAGTTCCTTTGTGTAAAGACTTCTCTGTGTAAAAGCCCCTGTATGTGTAAATGCTTTTGTGTGTAAAAGCTCCTCTGTGTAAAGGCTTCTCTGTGTAAAAGCTTCTGTGTGCAAACGCGTCTGTGTGTAAAAACTCTCTCTGTCAGTCAGGCCTTCTTCATGTAAAAAGTTCTGTGTGAAAAAGCTCCTAGACGTTTGTGTGCAAAAGCTCCTTGGAGTAAAGACTTCTCCGTGTAAAGCCTTCTGTGTGTAAAAAGCTCCTTTTGTGTAAGGACTTCTCTGTGTAAAAGCCCCTGTGTGTGTAAAAGCTTGCTGTGTGTAAATGCTTTTGTGTGTAAAAGCTCCTCTGTGTGAAGGCTTCTCTGTGTAAAAGCTTCTGTGTGCAAACGCGTCTGTGTGTAAAAAGCCCTCTGTGTAAAGACTTCGTTGTGTAACAGCTTCTGTGTGTAAAGGCTCCTAGACGTTTGTGTGCAAAAGCTCCTTAGAGTAAAGACTTCTCTGTGTAAAACCTTCTGTGTGTAAAAAGCTCCTTTGTGTAAAGGCTTCTCTGTGTAAAAGCTTCTATGTGCAAACGCGTCTGTGTGTAAAAACTCTCTCTGTCAGGCCTTCTTCGTGTACAAAGTTCTGTGTGAAAAAGCTCCTAAGAACGTTTGTGTGCAAAAGCTCCTTAGAGTAAAGACTTCTCTGTGTAAAACCTTCTGTGTGAAAAAAGCTCCTTTGTGTAAGGACTTCTCTGTGTAAAAGCCCCTGTGTGTGTAAAAGCTTGCTGTATCTTGCTGTGTGTAAATGCTTTTGTGTGTAAAAGCTCCTCTGTGTGAAGGCTTCTCTGTGTAAAAGCTTCTGTGTGCAAACGCGTCTGTGTGTAAAAAGCCCTCTGTGTAAAGTCTTCTTTGTGTAACAGCTTCTGTGTGTAAAGGCTCCTAGATGTTTGTGTGCAAAAGCTCCTTAGAGTAAAGACTTCTCCGTGTAAAACCTTCTGTGTGTAAAAAGCTCCTTTGTGTAAAGACTTCTCTGTGTAAAAGCCCCTGTATGTGTAAAAGCTTCTGTGCGACGCCTCCATCCAGCTTTCTTTCGGGTCACGCTGTCGTCCAGTTTCAATCTGCAACGTTGTTTCTTGTGGAAGAATGCAAAGAACAGGTGGCAGGTTCAAAATTTGAACATGAACAGCGCATAAAGTGCTGTAATTTACAGCATTTTGCGCTGTCAGATGGCAAGAACCCGCGTAAATACCACAGTTTTAGTCCCCGAAAGTGGCTAAAACACTGTTATTTACAGGGTTTCGTTCACGTCACGATCTTCGATTTTCTGAAAAACACGTAAATACCAGCGTTTTTTGCGTTCATCAACGCAAAAAATCGGTTCAAAAAGGGAAGAAAATGCTGTAAGTTACAGGGGTTTGGCGCCGCCACAGGCAAAAAACTGCGTAAATACTAGCGTTTCGGTGTCCAAAAGTGGCCAAAACACCGCTATTTACAGTGTTTCGTGCCTTTCACGTTTTCTTGAAATTGCAAAAACCATGTAAATACCAGCATTTTTTGCGATCAACCCGCCAAAAATGCTGTAATTTACAGTGTTTTTTTTGCTTGGCTTTCAAAAACACTGGTATTTGCAGTGTTTTGTGCATCTCGGGTCCAAAAAGTAATAGTATTTACAGCATTTTCTGCGTTTTTGAATTGCTCCCGCAAAAGACGTTAAAACGCAAAAATGCTGTAATTTACAGCATTTTGTCCATTTCGAAAAGCTAAAAATCGTCCGAAAAATGTGTCAAAACGGCACTTTTTTCCGATTTTAGGTACCCTCAAAATCGGGGGGGGGGATTATGCTCTTGGAGACGCTTATGAGCGACCCGGATTCCGGCCAAAAAGCTCTCCCCCACCCTCCTGAAGGATTTTTGGTGTTTTTCGGGGCCCGGCGTCGGAGGGTCGGCGGTTTGGGGCGCGCCTCACCATAGAGCTCTAGTCGCTCTGGGACACTCGTAGGGCAAGCCACTCGTGGGGAGCCGGCGGAGCCGAATTTAAGGGCTAACGCCCCTCGTCGGCTCCGCCGGATTTCTCGGCCCTCCATTTCATCGCAGTGTGGGGGCTGGAAAGCTTTTGGATGGGGACCTGCTTCAGGAATATATTCCTTACGTTTTTTGAAAAAAAAACATGGAACAGGAACTTTGTTGGAAATAGACGGCTTTTTTGGGGAGCAAGTGAGTGCCCGAAAGCTCCTGCCAAGGGTTTTTCCCGAAGAACTGCTGCCAATTTCAACTTGTGATTTCATGTCAAGACGCCTCTGTGCAAAGACTTCTCTGTGTAAAAGCTTTTGTGTGTAACAGTTTCTGTGTGTAAAAACCACTTTGTGTAAAGACTTCTTTGTGTAAAAGCTTCTATGTGTGAAAGCTTCTCTGTGCGAAATGTCTGTGTAAATATTTCACTGTGTGTAAAAGCTTCGGTGTGTAAAAACTCTCTGTGTAAAGTGTAAAGGCTTCTCTGTGTAAAAGCCTCTGTGTGTAAACGCGTCTGTGTGTGAAAGCTATATATCTGTGTAAAGACTTCTTTGTGTAACAGCTTCTGTGTGTAAAGGCTCCTAGACGTTTGTGTGCAAAAGCTCCTTAGAGTAAAGACTTCGCTGTGTAAAACCTTCTGTGTGTAAAAAGCTCCTTTGTGTAAAGACTTCTCTGTGTAAAAGCCCCTGTGTGTGTAAATGCTTTTGTGTGTAAAAGCTCCTCTGTGTAAAGGCTTCTCTGTGTAAAAAAAGCTTCTGTGTGCAAACGCGTCTGTGTGTAAAAAC